GGGGCAGTGGGGTGCCCCCTGATGCGGGCGCTGTGGGGCAGGCGGACAGCGGGCCGGAGAGCGGGCGCGTGCGGGCGCTGCAGCAGGAGGTGGAGGGCGTCAAGACCATCATGACCCAGAACGTGGAGCGGATCCTGGCGCGGGGGGAGAACCTGGAGCAGCTCCACAGCAAGAGCCAGGACCTGGAGGCCACCGTGAGAGCGGGGCATCACCCGGGCGGGCGGGGGGTCACCGGGGGGGGCATAGGGTCCCCGAGGTGGGACACGAGGTCCTTGAGGTGGCACAGGGTCCCCAAGGGACACAAGGTCTTCAGGGTGGGCACAGAGCTCCTGAGGTGGCACAGGGTCCCCCGGGTGGGCACAAGGTCCCCAGGGTGGGCACAGGGTCCCCAAGGTAGGCACAAGGTCCTCAGGGTGGGCACAGAGTCCCTGAGGTGTCTCAGGGTCCCCAAGGTGGCACAGGGTCTCCAGGATGGACACAAGGTCCCCAGGGTGGGCATTGCATCTCCAAGATGGGACACAGGGTCTCCAAGACAAACACAGGGTCCCCAAGGGGCACAACGTCTTCAGGGTGGGCACAGGGTCCCTGAAATGGGCTGGGATCACAGCGGGTGTCCCCGGGGTGGTGGTGGGAGAAGGTCCCCGAGGTGACAGTAGGTGTCCCTGGGGTGGCAGGGAGGGACCCTGGGGTGACAGTGGGGGGGTCCCAGGGTGGCAGGGCTGTCCCCGGGGTGTTAGGGGGTGTCCCTGGGTTCACAGTGGGTGTCCCCAGTGTAGGGAGGGGTCCCCAGGGTGGCAGTCAGTGTCCTTGGGGTGGGCGTAGGGTGTCCCCAAGGGTGGTGGTGGGGTCCCCCCAAGGTGGCAGTAGGTGTCCCAAATGTGGCAGGCGGGCACCCTGGGGTGACAGTAGGGGGTCCCAGGGTGGCAGGGCTGTGCCCGGGGTGGCAGGAGGTGTCCCTGGGTGCTCAGTGGGTGTCCCTGAGGTGGCAGTGTGAGGTCCCCAGGGTGGCAGGGGGCATCCTTGGGGTCATGGCGGGGGGTCCCAGGGTGGCAGGGGGTCATGTCCCATGTCCCCCCCTGAGTGGTGTCCCCACAGTCGGAGCACTTCAAGACGACGTCGCAGAAGATGGCCCGCCGGTACTGGTGGAAGAACGTGAAGCTGCTCGTCATCCTTGGCCTGGTGGGCGCCATCGTCCTCATCCTCATCATCCTCCTGGCCACCGGCACCATCCCCACCTAGAGCGCCCCCCCCCGGGGACCCCCCGGCCACCCCTGTGTCCCCGGGGAATACAGGGATGACGAGCTGCGTGTGGGGCTGAGCGTGTCATTGTGCGCCGCGGGACACACGCGCGTGTGGGGACACGGGTGGGGACACGTGTGGGGGCGGGAGGGTGCTGTGCCGGGCAGGGGGGGAGCGGTGCCAGGCAGGCGGCTGGCGCCAAGGGACAAAGGGCACATTG